ACGTTGTCTCCGCTAAACCTGGGGGATGTCGAAGGGACCATTTGCTGCTGTTATTTTCACTGTGTCGCATTGGGGTGCAGGTGGAGGGGAAGCACAGCAGCACAGGGGCTTTGGGCACATTTCAGATCACGCAGCCCATCCATGTCCCACCCCGGTGCTGGGTCACCCCCCTGCCGGCTCTGCCATCACCCAGGGACAGGGTGTCGCGGTGCCTGGGAAGAGGCTGGTTTAAGGCCAGCTCTCCTGGGGCCAAGGGAGGCTGCGCTGCGGCGGCCTTGGCAAGCTCTTGGTGTTATTTCCAGCATTGCCGATGACACAACTGAACCTCCAGGCTCACTTTGTGCCGGCGGGCGGCGAGGGTGAGCAAGGGCGCAGGGCAGGGAGCCTCGGGGCTGCCAGCACTGACTCCTCTGCTCGCCTGCCAGGTGAAATGTGTTCAAGACGCGATTCGCACCAAGAAGAAAACATTCAATTTTCTTGGCGAGACGATCGCTCTGATCCCGTCGGTTGGGCTGTTCATCACCATGAACCCTGGCTATGCAGGACGGACAGAACTGCCTGAAAATCTAAAAGCTCTGTTCAGGTACCGGTGGGCAGACAGGTCAGGGTGCAGCCAGCAGCTGTCACAGCATTTACCTCTGCGGTAACACTCGTGTGCTACCCCCACAACGTCACCTAAGCCTTTGCTAGTGCAGACGAGGATATTTGTGTGCACCGGCAGCCCCTGTGTCAGGGAGACCTTGGCACCCCGGGAGAGCTAAGCTGCTCAGCCTGGGGAAGAGGATGCTTGGGGTGTCCGGTTGCCACCTGCAGCTAAAAATCCAATTGAGACTAAGAAAAGAAAGGTGGTCACGTGCTGGTAGGGGTGGCGTGGGGTGCTGTGGGATCTCTGGCCTTGGAGGAACTCAGACTGTGCCTGCAGAAGGCCCAGGGTGACCTGATCCAGCTGTGACATGAGCCCTGCTGGGAGGCTGGACAGGAGCCCTCCAGAGACCCAGCCAGTGAGAACTCCTGCCTGACAGCAGCAGGGAACGATTTATGTTGGAAACTCGGGTGTTTTTTTTGTGGGAGGACGAGGGGCGTGTAGGCGCCCGTGCACAGCCCTGCTAACGTGCTGCTGCTCTCCTCCAGACCCTGTGCCATGGTGGTCCCCGATTTTGAACTGATCTGTGAAATCATGCTTGTTGCAGAAGGTTTCGTCAATGCTAAACTTCTAGCAAGAAAGTTCATTACTCTGTACACACTCTGCAAAGAGCTAATGTCTAAACAGGTAATTTAACAGTATTGAATGGTTCTTTAAGATGAAGGGGTTAGTTTGAATTTCAGACCTGACAGATGGTTTAAAAACCTCTCAGTAACGTGCTGACTTGCATTCTGTGTAGTTCAATGGCTGGACAAATTCCACTTCCATGCTGGTGCATCATATGGCATATTTCTGCCTTCTGGAAGAAATCAAGAAGGCCAAAAATAGAACAGAATAGATCATAGCCAGTTAAAATGAGAGCATCCAGATATTATTCATTCCAGCAGAAGTGATTTAAAAGGAAGGCAGCCAGACTGCCATTACCTCGTGGCTGACTGGGGCTTGTCTGCTGGACACCGTGTGGACAATCTGGGAGTGGGGAGGTGGGCAGGGTGCTCCTCTGCAGTGCTGTTTAACACAATTCTCTCTCACCAAAGCGGAACTGTAACACTTTGCTGCCTGTTGGCAGGACCACTACGACTGGGGTCTGCGGGCTATCAAGTCCGTGCTGGTGGTAGCGGGCTCCTTGAAGAGAGGGGACCCTGGCCACGCCGAGGACCAGATTCTGATGAGAGCTTTACGAGACTTCAACATCCCCAGGATCGTGACAGACGACTTGCCCATCTTCATGGGGCTGATTGGAGACCTGTTCCCAGCCGTGGATGTCCCCAGGAAGAGAGACCTCAACTTTGAGAAGGTGCGAGCCCAATCGCAGCACCAGCACCAGAGACATCCCGGCCCTGGCAGGGTCCAGAGGCTGAAGGTGCATTTGGCACTTCTGGGGGGTGGCTGGCTCGTCCCTGGGGTCTTGCCAAGACCGTGATGTCTGCCCGTGGTCAGCATATGCCCTCCTTCCCAGATCATTAAGCAGTCCATGCTGGAGCTGAAGCTGCAGGCAGAGGAGAGCATCGTGCTGAAGGTGGTGCAGCTGGAGGAGCTGCTGCAAGTGAGACACTCTGTCTTTGTCATCGGCAACGCCGGCTGCGGCAAGTCCCAGGTAGCGGCCAAACCATCCCCAAGGACACGGGTCCCCTCCTGCCCCAGCTGGGCACGTCCCACCACCTCTTGGCTGCACCAGAAGCAGCACCTGGGTAGGGAACAGCAGTACGGGCACGTGGGCAGGGGCTCTGTGATACCCTGCGTGTCTTGGCTGCACCAGAAGCAGCACCTGGGTAGGGAACAGCAGTACGGGCACGTGGGCAGGGCGGTGCCAGCTGGCCGGTCTCTGGGCTCTCACAACACCCTGGCCAGGAGCTGGCTCTGCAGGCGGATGTCCAGAGCCTTCCCAGTGGCCGTCCAGGCCTGGGGGCTCTGCAGCGGGTGGAGCAAGACTCCGTGCCCCTGGCTGCGGGCAGAGGCTGCCAGAGGCTGCAGTCGCCCTCGTAGGGGCGGCGGCGGCAGCTGCACGGTTCCCCTCGCTGCAGGTGCTGAGGTCGCTCAGTAAGACGTACCAGAACATGAAGCGGAAGCCAGTCACCGTGGACCTTGACCCAAAGGCTGTGACCTGCGATGAGCTGTTCGGGGTCATTCATCCGTCCACGCGAGAGTGGAAGGACGGTGAGACACCAATGCTCGTGAGCGGTCGCTTACCCCAGGTGGGGACTGGCCCAAACCATCCTTCAGCAGCGGCTGGTGCACAGGCAATACCTTCATAAATGGGTCTCTAAACACCTTGTGCTATGGTGACGGTAGGGGAAGACCTTCCCTTGGGGCTTTTTACTGGTGTGTGAGGGAGGAGGAACGTGTTTCAGGGAAGCACCCAGTCCTGCATGGCCCCCCAGATAACGTGCCATGCACGGAAAGGACAAACCCACGTGTCTCTCTGTGGGATAGGTCTGTTCTCTTCAGTGATGCGTGACCTGGCCAACATCACACATAATGGGCCCAAGTGGATCATCCTCGATGGAGATATTGACCCCATGTGGATCGAGTCCCTGAACACGGTCATGGATGACAACAAGGTCGGTGCCATCACACCCCAGGAGCTCTGCTCACTCATTACCTCAGGTGATCAGCTTGTGTTCATGCCCAAGACCCAAGGTCAGGGCAGCCCCCCATGATGGGCCACTTCCCCCAGGTTCTCACCTTGGCCAGCAACGAGCGCATCCCCCTCAACCCCACCATGCGGCTCCTCTTTGAGATCAGCCACCTGCGGACCGCCACACCGGCGACCGTGTCCCGGGCAGGAATCCTCTACATCAACCCCACGGACCTGGGCTGGAACCCGTGAGCCTAGGGAAGGAGATGGGTGGAGTGGGATGGGATGGGACAAGATGGAATAGGTGGGATGGGATGGGGTGGGGTGGGGTGAGGTGGGACATGGTGGGGCAGGCGCTGGCCCCCTGCGCACTCGCCTGCAGCCCTGCCCATCCCTCCCACAGCGTTGTGGCCAGCTGGATTGACACCAGGACGGTGCACTCCGAGAAAGCCTACCTGACGATCTTCTTTGACAAGTACCTGCCAGTGTGCCTAGAGAAGCTCAAGTCTGGCCTCAAGCAGATCACCCCTGTCCCCGAGGTCTCAGTGGTGCAGACGGTGCTGTACCTGCTCGAGTGCCTCCTGACGCCACAGACCACCCCGCCAGACTCGCCCCGGAAGCTCTATGAGCTCTATTTCGTCTTCGCCTGTGCCTGGGCCTTCGGCGGGGCCATGTTCCAGGACGAGGTACGGCTGCGGGACCAACCGCTCAGCACCCACCTGCTCACCAGAGCCTCCTGCCCAGCGTCCTCCCTCGGCCGCATCCCTTCGGGAAATACAAAAGCCACAACATCGGCCAGCTTCTGAGTTTTTCTCTGTTTGGTTCCTCCCAGCTGGTGGATTACCGCCTGGAATTCAGCAAGTGGTGGGTGAACGAGTTTAAAGCCATCAAGTTTCCTTCTCAGGGGACAATTTTTGACTATTATATCAACCCGGAAACAAAGAAATTCATGCCCTGGACTGAAAAAGTGCCAAAATTCAAACTCGATCCCGAAGTCCCTTTACAGGTATTGCCCACAAGCTCTCTGTGTTTGTGTGTTTTGTTGGTTTATTACTCCAGGTCTTCCCCCCAGCAATGGTGGGCAAGACCCCGCGCCTGGAGCGGCGCAGGGACCCCGGCTGGCTCCTGGCTCTGCCACGCTGCCACACAGGCTGGTGGCCCCTGGCAAACCCCGCAGCTTTCTGTGGTGCTGCTTTACCCCGGGGAAACCTCAGTGAGGACTGCAAGCTGCAACTCTCTTTTTTGATTGCAGATTAACCTATGGCTTCATAGATTCTCATGAAATGATCATTGCCTAAATGCAAAAATGTACTTTAAAACTTTATTTCCACATCTTTTGAAATGCTGTCCTGAGGGAGGGGGGGTTGTGTCAAAGACGTCAGGGAAAGGGAGAGGCGCCGCGGCTGAGTGTGGCCCATGCATTGGCTGAGCAAAGACACTGGGGACGTTTTCAGGAACTCTGCTGTGTTGTTCTGGTTTAATAACTCGTTTTTCTGACAGCTCCTATTTCTGGTCAGAAAGTCTTTAGAATACCCAAGCACCTGAGACCTTTTGCTTTAGAGAGGGACCAGGTTTGTATGGAGAGAGAGCATCTTCCGTCAGACCAGCCGGCACGCTGCCCGCTGCTCTGACGGAAGATCCCGCCTCTGCCTGCAAACGTAGCCTCCAGCAGCAAGAGGCGAGCTCTGGGGACTGATGGCGCGATGTCCCCAGGCCTCCATGGTACACACGACGGAGACCGTTCGCATCCGCTACTTCATGGACCTGCTGATGGAGATGCAGAGGCCGGTGATGCTGGTGGGGAATGCAGGGACGGGAAAATCGGTCCTGATGCGGGACAAGCTGGAAGCGCTCGGTGCAGAGGAATACCTCATGCAGTCCATGCCCTTTAACTTCTACAAGGTTGGCCCCAGCCGGCAGCCGGCCCCGCACCGGGCTGTGCCGCACGGCCCCGCGGCTCTGCCCCACTGCCCACCCACTCCTCTCACTGCAGCCCTCCTCGAGAAGCCCCTGGAGAAGAAATCGGGGAGGAACTACGGCCCGCCCGGGACCAGGAGGCTTATCTACTTCATTGACGACATGAACATGCCGGAGGTGGACAAGTACGGCACCGTGGCACCGCACACGCTCATCCGGCAGCACATGGACCACGGGCACTGGTGGGTGCCCAGCCGGCAGCTCCCACCACGGGGCCTCGGTGACCCCCTGCCTGGCAAAGATGTGCCATGGTGGCACCTCTCCCAACCCACTGGAGGACTCCAGCTGTGCCCTGCCCATGCCGTGTCCTGCGCCACGCTGCCGGCAGAGCTGAACCTCGCGTTCCTCCCCAGCCCGCTCGCTCCCAGGGCTGCGGGGAAGGCTTTGGCAGAGGAGTGGGAAAACTCCCTGCGGGCGGGACCCGACA